TGTATACTAAGGCGAGAAGTATGGGGAAATGTGGAGGAAAATGGTTTGAGGCCTAAACGTTGGTTAAGCAAACTGTATGTATGGCCTGAAGGTAGAAAAAGGGGGGGAAGGTAGAAAAAAAGAAGGGTAGAAAGAAATTATAAAAGCAGAACTAACTGTAGAAACTATAGAAGCAAAACTAACCATTTGTAACAGCTTGTGATTAATAGCTGCCAGGTGACAGAGCAAGAAACCGCAAAGGGCAAAACTAAGGAAAACAGGAAAAGCTTGCTTTGCTTTATTCCTTATATGGATGTAAAATTTTAAGGAAGTATATGTAATTTTTGTGGTTTTATCCTATATAAGCTCTCGTATTTTATCTATCGGGGGTGGGTGGGGAGGGGCGGTTCGGCTGCCTTGGCTGACTTCCCCATTCACGCATGTTTGATTGATCAATAAAGGAGCCTCAGGCTAATCTGATCCAAAATCAATCATGTGGTCGATTTTTCCACAACAGGAATAAGCAGGAAGAACTTGTAATGCTAGTAAATAAAGACAACTATGACATAGTTGGCATCACAGAGACTTGGTGGGATAATAGGCATGACTGGAATATTGGTATAGGAGGGTACAGCTTGCTCAGGAAGGACAGGCAGAGAAAAAAGGGAGGAGGTGTTGCCTTATATATTAAAAATGTGTATGCTTGGACTGAGATTTAGATGGAAATAGGAGACAGACTTGTTGAAAGTCTCTGGGTAAGGATAAAAGGGGTAAAAAACAAGGGTGATGTCAGGGTAGGGGTCTACTACAGACCACTAAACCAGGAAGAAGTGGTGGATGAGGCTTTTTTTAAACAGCTAACAAAATCATCCAAAACACAGGACTGGGTGGTGATGGGGGACTTCAACTACTCAGACATCTGTGAGAAAATAACACAGCAGGGCACAGATTATCCAACAAGTTCTTGGAATGTATTGGAGACCATTTTTTATTTCAGAAGGTGGAGAAAGCTACCAGGGGAGAGGCTGTTCTAGATTTGATTTTGACAAAGAGGGAGGAACTGGTTGAGAATCTGAAAGTGGAAGGCAGCTTGGGTGAAAGTGATCATGAAATGGTAGAGTTCATGATTCTAAGGCATGGTAGGAGGGAGAACAGCAAAATAAAGATAATGGATTTCAAGAAGGCAGACTTTAGCAAACTCAGGGAGTTGGCAGGTGTAAGGTCCCATGGGAAGTGAGTCTAAAGGGAAAAACAATTGGAGACCATTGGCAGTTTTTCAAGGAGACAGTATTAAGGGCACAAGAGGAAACTATCCCACTGCGTAGGAAAGATGGGAAGTATGGCAAGAGACCACCCTGGCGTAACCAGGAGATTTTCAGTGATCTAAAAATCAAAAGAGTCCTACAAAAAGTGGAAACTAGGTATAATTACAAACGATGAATATAAACAAATAACAGAAGACTGTAGGGACAAAATTAGAAAGGCCAAGGCACAAAATGAGATCAAACCAGCCAGAGACATAAAGGGTAACAAGAAAACATTCTACAAATACATTAGAAACAAGAGGAAGATGAAGGACAAGGTAGGCCCATTAGTCAGTGAGGGGGGCAAAAGAATAACAGAAAATGTGGAAATGGCAGAGGTTCTTAATGACTTATTTGTTTCGGTTTTCACCAAGAAGGTTGGTGGTGATTGGACGTCTAACATAGTGAATACCAGGGAAAATGAGGTAGGATCAGAAGAGGCTAAAATAGGGAAAGAACAAGTTAAAAATTACTTAGACAAATTAGTTGTCTTCAAGTCACCAGGGCCTGATGGAATGCATCCTAGAATACTCCAGGAGCTGACTGAGGAGATATTTGAGCCATTAGCAATTATCTTTGCAAAGTCATGGAAGATGGGAGAGATGAAAAGGGCAAATCTAGTGCCTATCTATAAAAAGGGAAACAAAAACAACCCAGGAAATTACAGACAAGTCAGTTTAACTTCTGTTATCTGGAAAGATAATGGAGTTAATAATTAAGTAATCAATTTACAAACACCTAGAAGATAATAAGGTGATAAGTAACAGTCACCATGGATTTGTCAAAAACCAATCATGTCAAACCCACCTGATAGCTTTCTTTGACTGGGTAACAAGCCTTGTGGATGGGGGGAAGCAATAGATGTGGTATGTCTTGACTTTAGTAAAGCTTTTGATACTGTCTCCCATGACCACCTCTTAAACAAACTAGGGACACGCAATCTAGATGGAGCTATTATAAGGTGAATGCAAAACTGGTTGGAAAACCGTTCCCAGAGAGTAGTTATCAGTGGTTCACAGTCATGCTGGAAGGGCATAACGAGTAGGGTCTTGCAGGGATCAGTTCTGGGTCCGGTTCTGTTCAATATCTTCATTAACGATTTAGATAATGGCATATAAAGTTTGTGGAAGACACCAAGCCGGGAGGGGTTGCAAGTACTTTAGAGGATAGGATTAAAATTCAAAATGATCTGGACAAACTGGAGAAATGGTCTGAAGGACAAATGCAAAGTACTCCACTTAGGAAGGAACAATCAGTTGCACACATATGAAATGGCAAATGACTGCCTAGGAAGAAGTACTGTGGAAAGGGATCTGGGAGTCATAGTGGATGACAAGGTAAATATGAGTCAACAATGTAACACTGTTGCAAAAAAAAGTGAACATCATTCTGGGCTATATTAGCAGGAGTGTTGTAAGCAAGACATGAGAAGTAATTCTTCCTCTCTACTCTGCTCTGATTAGGCCTCAACTGAAGTATTGTGTCAAGTTCTGGATGCCACATTTCAGGAAGGATGTGGACAAATTGGAGAGAGTCCAGAGAAGAGCAACAAAAATGATTAAAGTTCTAGAACACATGACCCATGAGGGAAGATTGAAAACATTGGGTTTGTTTAGTCTGGAGCAGAGAAGAGTGAGAGGGGACATGATAACAGTTTTCAAGTATGGAAAAGGTTGTTACAAGGAGGAGGAAGGAAAATTGTTTTTCTTAACCTCTGAGGATAGGACAAGAAGCAATGGACTTAAATTGCAGCAAGGGCAAGTTAGGTTGAACATTAGGAAAAACTTCCTATCCGGGTGGTTAAGCACTGGAATAAATTGCCTGGGGAGCTTGTGGAATCTCCAACATTGGCGATTTCTAAGAGCAGGTTAGACAAACACCTGTCAGGAATGGTCTAGATAATTAATCCTGCCACGAGTGCAGGGGACTGGACTAGATGACCTCTCGAGGTCCCTTCCAGTCCTATGATTCTATGGGGGGAATGGGCTATTGAGGGGCATGGGGGGATGCTGGGATATCAGGAGAGGGCCCGGGGGGGCGGGCTCGGGGAGGTGCTTACCGTGGGGCACATAGTAGTGGCCTATGACTCTATGAGGGTCCATGTGGGTCTTTCCCTGTGGGGTACGTAGCAGGGCTACGGGACCTTGTGGGGTTACAGGCTGTGGGTCACTCACTGTAGGGTGCGCAGTGGGGGTTTGGGGGACGACCAGGCAGGCTAAAGTGGCAGGGGGATCTGTGGGTCTCACCATGCGGCACATGGGCGGGAACAGGGGGATCTGTGGATCTCACCATGGGGCGTGTAGCGGGGGCGCAGCACGGCTGGCAGCATGTAGCGGGCGGCTCCATCGGGCTCCAGCGGCAGCTCGCAGACGTAGCGCAGGGTCAGCGCCGCCTCCTCCCCAGGGGGCAGGTTACCCAGGGAGCAGCTGAAAACGTCGCCTCCAGTCCCCTCCTGCTGCAGCAAGAACGAGCTCTGCCCCCCGGCCAGCGCATCCCCGTACAGCTCTTGTGCCTGCCGGAGAGACAGGGTCATCCCGAGATCCCCCTGGCCCGAGATCCCACTGCCCTGCCCCCCGGCCAGCACATCCTCATACAGGTTACTTCTGCGGGAATTCTGCACTACTGCATATGCACAGAATTCACGTCTGGTGCAGAATCCGCCCTCCCCCCCGCCCCGCAGAAAATACATTCTGCCCAAGAAGTGCTGCAGTTCCACCTTTCACCCTCCAGAGGCCAGGAGTTCTTCACAGCATCCTGCCCGCGGAGCCAGGTTAGGACAGAGTGGGGCACATGGGGCTGCGGGGGGGGGGGTCACAGAGTGGGGTTCAGAAGGGCTTGTGGGGGGGGAGAGACTGGGCTGTGGGCTCAGGAGCTAGTGGGTTGACACCATTGAGCCAAGACTGAATGGGAGGGGGGCTGCAGGGCCACACGGGAGCAGGGGATGCAGGGACACACAGGGATTGGGGAGGAGGCTGCAGAGACCGATGGGGGGTGTGGAGACAGGGGCAGATGTGCTTGACTGAATGGGAGAGGCTTGGGGTGAGCCAGGGTCTGCATGGGGGAGGCTCCCCAACTCCCTAACAATCCCTCCCCCACAAAAAACCTGTTCCATACTTCTCCCACCCACACACAATAATCCTCGAGGTTCACTCCAGACTCCTTCCCTTTCCCTCAGCTCCTCCATTACCCCTGACTCCCCCAAGCCTTTGTGCTGCTTCTGAGGGGGGCAGGATATCCGGTTCTATATTGTAGTTTAAATGAATTCTTACACAAAGTTCTGTATGAATAGGCCTAGAAAGGAATCTATTCGTGGAAAAAAATTACCAGAATCTTCTTTTTTGGTCTGTGTTGTTACAGACGTACTTGCTGACATTATTTTGAAATAAATTACCAAAATAATGGAAACTGGCATGATTACACTGTTATTTTGACCAAAAAAACACAGACTTTTAATTTTGTTGGTGCCTAATTCCCCCAGGAGTAACAGCTCCTGCACCCTATGGAGAGACAGGGTCAGCCCGAGATCTCCTTATCCCACAAGATCACCTGCCAGCGTGTTCCCATACAGCTCCTGTGTGTGCTGCGAGAGACCAGGTCACCCCGAGATTCCCCATTCCCCCAACATCCCCCTGCCCTGCCCCCCGGCTAGTGTGTCCCTGTACAGCTCTTGCACCTGCCAGGAGAGATGGGGTCACCCCAAGATCCCCCTGCCCTGCTCCCAAGCCAGCGTGTACCCATACCCTGCCTCCTTGGTACTGTCTCTCCCCCCCCGGTACCTGTTTCTTCTCACGGAGCTGGGCCTGGATGCAGGTGCCCCCGAGGCGGGCCTGGAAGGCATAGACGGCCGCCTCAGAGTCCACGGGGAACAGGAACACGGCCTCCACTGGCCCCGGCTCCTTGTTCCTGTATAGCAGCTCGCAGCCCACATCTGCCACGAAGCCTCGGATCAGCACCGTCACCGAGCAGCTGCGCAGGGGCACTGGGGGGAGAGGGAGATCAGCCACGGGTCCCTCTGACCCCCACGGGCCCCAGGAAACGGGGATGTCAGCCATAGGCCCCCCACAACACCTCCCCATGGGCTCCAGGGGAGGGGGGCATCAGTCATGGGACCCCCCCTGCCCTGACTCACCCGGCTTGTTGGAACTGTTCAGGAGGCCGCAGCTTGTCATCTTGGTCCGGGGTCGGAGATCTGTGCGGGGCAAGGGTGTGCAGTGAGATACAGGGTTCCCATGGAAATTGATGGGCACAGGGTGTGTCCCCCAACAACAGCTCTGAGACCCCAGTCCCACCCCCCTGCTCAGCGAAGTCCTGTGGCAGGGAGTCCCGCAGACTCACGGGCCTAGCTCAGAGATCAGAGTGACGGCTCCTCTCGGCCCCACCGGGTTCCCCCTCCCTGCACACTGTGCCAGCCCCCAGCAAGTAGGGGCAGGCAGGGACCGGGGCACAGCTGGGAGCTGGATGGAGAAATGTGTGAGTGTGGGGGTAATGGGGATGGATGGACAGACGGATGGGAGAGGGGTGGGGATGGATGTTTGGATGGAGGGAATGGCTGGGGGAGGGGTGGAGAAATGTAGGGGAGCATCACGGGTCCCTGGGCGTCTGCTGGGGGGGGGGAACGCCCCCGCTTGCCCAAAGTGGGATGGATACACCCCGTCATCAGGGCTCTCAGCCGGGCCAGACAAACACAATCAGGGACTACCGACCCCCCCACATGGCCCCAGCCCCCAGCAGGGACCGGGGTACGGCTGAGAGATGGAAATGTAGGGGGGATGGATGGACAGACGGAAGGAGGGGAGACGTGTGGGTGGGGACGCACAGACAGAAGAGGGAGCTGGACAGGCATGGGGGAGGTGAGGATGGACAGACGGATGGAAGGGGGGGTTGGACAGGCGTGGGGGGTGAGGATGGACAGACAGACGCAAGGGGGGGTTGGACAGGCGTGGGGGGGTGAGGATGGACAGAAGTCGGGGGCGGCTCTGACCCAGCAAGGTGCTGAATTTCCTGCTCTGGCTCCAATCCGAACTCCGCTGTCCTGGGTCCCGCTCCCAGAGCTGCGCCGCCCCCTGCTGGGCAGTGCCGGACCTGCCCGTCCCAGGTCATAGACCCCGCTCTGCTGAGGGCGAGTCCCCGCGACTCCTGGGGACAGTGGGGGGGGGGCCTCTCCATGGGCGGGGCCGGGCAGGGCTGGGCCGTGACTCCAATCCCCCCTGCGCTGTACATCCCCCCTGCGCAGTGCTGTGGGCGGGAGACACATGCCCACCCCCCATGTTACAGGGGGCAGCGCACACAGACTTGTATCCCCGGCTGGGGGGGGGAGGGGCAGGACTCCTGGATCCTATCCCGTTGGGGGGGGCTGGGAGCCAGGACTCCTGGGTTCTCTCCCCAGCTGGGGGCCCTGAACCCCAGGGGAGGGGACTGTGGGGATCCCAGGGGCCCCGTTACCTTCACTAGCCCAGGCCTAGAGCAGAGGCTGCAAAAGCAAAACCGAAAGTCACTTTTCCAGGCTAGCCCCACCCAGGCCAGCCAGGGAGCGTCTGTAATCATCTGCATGGCAATCGGTGGAGGTCCCGGATGACTGGAAAAAGGCTAATGTAGTGCCCATCTTTAAAAAAGGGAAGGCGGAGGATCTGGGGAACTATAGACCAGTCAGCCTCACCTCAGTCCCTAGAAAAATCATGGAGCAGGTCCTCAAGGAATCAATTCTGAAGCACTTAGAGGAGAAGAAAGTGATCAGGAACAGTCAGCATAGATTCACCAAGGGCAAGTTATGCCTGACTAACCTAATTGTCTTCTATGATGAGATAACTGGCTCTGTGGATGAGGGGAAAGCAGTGGATGTGTTATTCCTTGACTTTAGCAAAGCTTTTGATACAGTCTCCCACAGTATTCTTGCTAGCAAGTTTAAGAAGTATGGGCTGGATGAATGAACTATAAGGTGGATAGAAAGCTGGCTTGATTGTCGGGCTCAGTGGGTAGTGATCAATGGCTCGATGTCTAGTTGGCAGTCGGTATCAAGCAGAGTGCCCCAAGGGTCGGTCCTGGGGCCAGTTTTGTTCAATATCTTCATTAATGATCTGGAGGATGGTGTGGACTGCACTCTCAGCAAGTTTGCAGATGACACTAAACTAGGAGGCGTAGTAGATACACTAGAGGGTAGGGATCGGATACAGAGGGATCTAGACAAATTAGAGGATTGGGCCAAAAGAAATCTGATGAGGTTCAACAAGGACAAGTGCAGAGTCCTGCACTTAGGACGGAAGAATCTCATGCACTGCTACAGACTAGGGACCGGCAGCTAGGCAGCAGTTCTGCAGAAAAGGACCTAGGGGTTACAGTGGACGAGAAGCTGGATATCAGTCAACAGTGTGCCCTTGTTGCCAGGAAGGCTAATGGCATTTTGGGCTGTATAAGTAGGGGTATTGCCAGCAGATCGAGGGACATGATCATTCCCCTCTATTTGACATTGGTGAGGCCTCATGTGGAGTACGGTGTCCAGTTTTGGGCCTCACACTACAAGAAGTATGTGGAAAAATTGGAAAGAGTCCAGTGGAGGGCAACAAAAATGATTAGGGGTCTGGAGCTTGTGACTTATGAGGAGAGGCTGAGGGAACTGGGATTGTTTAGTCTGCAGAAGAGAAGAATGAGGGGAGATTTGATAGCTGCTTTCAAGTACCTGAAAGGGGTTTCCAAAGAGGATGGAGCTCGGCTGTTCTCAGTGGTGGCAGAAGACAGAACAAGGAGTAATGGTCTCAAGTTGCAGTGGGGGAGGTTTAGGTTGGATATTAGGAAAAACTTTTTCACTAGGAGGGTGGTGAAGCACTGGAATGGGTTACCTAGGGAGATGGTGGAATCTCCTTCCTTAGAGGTTTTTACGGTCAGGCTTGACAAAGCCCTGGCTGGGATGATTTAGTTGGGGATTGGTCCTGCTTTGAACTGGGGGTTGGACTAGAGACCTCCTGAGGTCCCTTCCAACCCTGATATTCTATGATTCTAACACAAACAGCAAAACAAAACCACAAACAAACAAGTGACAACACTGAAAATATGAAGGGAAATAAAACATCAAGTGGTTGGTTATGGGTATTTTAAAGGGGTGTTTAGGACCCATGTTGTGCAAATGCAGCAGAACCCTCTAGAGACAGGCAAAGTTATTCTGGTTTCACATTGTGTGCATAAGCGCCGACTCTGTGGGTGCTCTGGGGCTGGAGCACCCACGGGGAAAAATTGGTGGGTGCTCAGCACCCACCGGCAGCTTCCCACCCCCCCTTCCCGCTCACGTCCGCCTCCTCCCCTGAGCGCGTCCCGTGCCCACTTTCCCCCCCTAGCTCCCAGTGCTTGCGCCACAAAACAGCTGTTTTGCGCAGCTGGGAGGGAGGGGGAAGGAGGGGAAACATGGCGCGCTTGGGGAAGAGGTGGGGCCGGGGCCGGGATTTGGGGAAGGGGTCCAATAGGGGCAGGGAGGGGGTGGAGTTGGGGCGGGGACTTTGGGGAAGGGATTGGAATGGGGGCGGGGCAGGGGTGGGGAAAGGGTGGAGTCGGGGCAGGGCTGGGGGGGCACGAGCACCCACCAGCACCAGGGAAAGTTGGCGCCTATGATTGTGTGTGTCACCAACTCAAAAACTCACAGCCCTGGAGCACATGAACAGAGGGCTTGGAGGTTGCAGACAGATCCCTGCTTCAAAGAGCTTGCAAATAAGGTCTTTATCCTACAAAACACCTAGCAGCATCTCCACCAAACCTAGTGCTGCTTAAGAGTCAATGGGAGAACTCTGCAGAGCCAGAACTACACCAGATAACAAAGATCTGGCCTTAATGATTTCCAGACCTCTCCCCAAACGTAATGGAAATCACTTGCCTGGACAAGCAATTTCCATTAAGTTTTAGCCCTGTTTTGGGGAGAGCTGTCTCTCTCCCTCCGCAGCAGCTACCAAGCTGGGGCTGGGAAGGAGGGCGGGGGGGTCTCTACCCCAGCACAGCAGCTACAGAGCTGGGGCTGGGAAGGAGGAGGGGTTTCTCTCCCACCACAGCAGCCACAGAGGTGTGGCTGGGAAGGAGGGCCGTCTCCCCTTGGTAGCCGCAGCCCTGGAGCTGGGGAAAGTTGCCTCTTTCTCCGGCTGCCACAGCCCTGCACATCCCCAATTCCCCCCACCCCCTCTTCTTACCCCACTGCCCCCCCACTTACCTCCTATTCCCCCCAAGGCCACCACCTCACCTTACATCTGCATCTTCTCCAGGGTCCAGGCACCTAATTAGTGGAGCCATACCTGCACGGCTCCACTAATTAGATGGGTGGACCTTCATTCTTTTGTGTGCAGCCGCCCAGGCATGCACCTTAGAGGGAACTATCCGTGGACCACCTGAGTGGAGCTCATGGACCACAGTTTGAGAACGTCTGTTCTCGGGGACAAGGACCCGCCCCTTGGGGACACCACAACAAGCTGTCTCACAGCCTGCTCCTCCCACGTCCCAGGCACTGGCTGCGCTGCAGTGACACCGCGAGTTGGACGCTGGCTCTGGCAGTGCCAATGTGCCCTCAGGCTCTGGGTGGTAGGACCCTTTTCCCCAGCATCGGTCCCCCCATTGGCCTGCAAGGCTTCTGGGGTGGGGGCATCTCCCTGTGCTGTCGGTCTGCCCAGGGTCCCCCCTCGTTCTCCGACACACATGGGTGTGCACACTGGCGCAGGGAGAGTCACACCCTGAGGTTTACACAGCCTGGCTCGTGCAGGGCTCGGTCAGTGCACAGAACAGCTTCTCCACGTGCACCAACGATCTAACCAAAGGACCCCAGCCCAGTAATTTACACCAGTGTTTATGTCTTTGCGGAGACCTTCCATGCCACCTGCGGGTGAACTCAACTGTAAGCACCGGACCCAGGGGATTTCAATATTCTTATGCCCTCTGCCAGCTGGCATCCAGCGGACCTGGGGCACAGGGCTCCGGGGCCTGTTCTGAGGAGCTGTTTTCTAGTCACTCCCCAGCTGGTGCCCTCTGGGGATAATCACAGCTCTGTGGGGCTCGGGCAGGCTGTGTTTCCTACCCGGTTCCCTGCTTGCTGCGGCTGCCGGCAATTCCTGAATCCCTGGGCTGGGACGTGTGCCTGGCACACCACACAGAAGCCTGATGCCACGGGAGGCTCTGGGCAGAGATGCCCCAAGAGAACCGGACAGCCCTGGGCCTGAGCCCCCACCGGACGCTGGGAGGGTATCGAGGTAGCGAATGCTCCAGCAGTTCGGAGCAGGCTGGCTGGCTCAGGAGAGAAAGGCTGGAGCAGCCACTTTTCCCTCTAGGTCCCGGGGGCCAAACCCAGCCCCAGGGAGCAGTGGCCCAGCAGTGCCCCTTCTCACCTCTGTCCTGGGGCGCTCAATGACAGCACTTGCCGAACGCCCCTTCCACCCAGACGCCCTCAGCGAGACCAAGGGCTCCCCAACCGGGCTCACCGGGAAAGTGGGGCTCGTGCCCCCTGGGCCTCCGCACACAGGTCGTGCCAGCCGGCACATGGCCCCAGCAGGCCTCCCAGCCCAGCTTCACGGCCCAGTGCTGACCGCTGGGTCTCAGGTGCTGAAGCCTGGGGAGGGGCGGGGAGTCAGAGACTGAGCCCTGGCCCGAGCTGTCCGCATAGCTATGGGGCTGGGCCAAGCCCTGCTGGCACAAGTCTGTGGCCCCAGGCCGGGAGCTGCGCTGCCGGCTGCAGTGTGCAGAATGGAGACAGAAAGCTTTGGGTCACACGGATTGGCTCACACACCTGTTCTCTCCACGGGCCGGGCCTAGGACTCAGCAGTTCCTGGGCTCCAGCCTGCAGCTCTCCCCACTAGGTGCTGCTGTCGCTCGACCCTGGGGAACGTGCAGAAAGCTCCCGGTGGAAAGATGTTAACTTCTGCCTCTGCGCCTCTGTGCAGGGCGCCGGAGAGCAAGCTGCCAAGAGCCCCTGGAGAACAGAACCGGATAAAACCTCTTCCCACGGCCAAGCAGTGACTGCCAGGGAGCTCGTCTGTGCAGAGTGATGGGTTGGAGTCTGTTTCTGTCCGGGCTGGAGGAGTGTGAGACACAGACGAGCTCTCAGGTTGCTCTGCCTTTGGCCTTGAACTGCTACCACGATGCCAGCGTTTGAGAGAGTGAACTGTCTGCACAAGACATGCCGGCGGCACAGCTGCAGTGTAGATGCCACTCCAGTG